ACGACGGCTGTACCGCACATTTTGGCCCAAAACGCAAACTCTCTTTGCATAGCAAGTCTGGGATACACCTGTCGGGTGAGCCATACCGGTGCCCGCGACGGTTGTGTGGATTTGAGACCATTTTCCGACTGGAGTTACGCCAACACTTGGCCGACCACTCGCGCGAAGAAACTGCCGCTAATGTGCCGAAAATGGGCGGTAAATACCGGTGCGCTTATGAGGGGTGCGGGCGGGTGTTCCGCGAAATGGGATCCCTTCGAGAGCACCGAAAGGCCAGACATTTGGGTAAACGGTTTTTCTGCGATCACCCGAACTGTTCCGCCCATTACTCCAGTTCTCAGGCTCTAGTGGACCACCAGAAGGCCGGCGCTCACGTGTTGGGACAGCCGTTCAGCTGTCAGTTTAAGGACTGCGCCTTTCGGACGCCGGACAGGAAGGCGTTAGTCCGACACTTGGGGGACCATAAGGGCACCGATCGGCTGCTACCGAATCGGCCGTACGCTTGCGATTGGAAGGGCTGTGCCCTGAGGTTTACGTCCCGCGACCAGTTAGCTCAACACAAACGCCATCACTTGACACTCACCTACCGGTGCGACGAATGCCGGCGCGAGTTTCCAAAGGAACAGCTGCTGAAGTTTCATAAGATGAGTCGCCACCGATCGGACTACCGGTGCGATTGGGAGGGATGTGAGTACAGGACTGGCTATCGGTCGGTGTTAAGGTTACACCAGAGGAAGCACTCGGAGCCTACGAAACGGGAGTTTAAGTGTCGAGTGCCCGGCTGTCACAAAACATGTCACTCCAACACTCAAGTTATGACCCACCAGTTGAGAACACATCCACACCTGTTCCCCGACATACCGTTCCTTCACTGCCCGCAAAAGGACTGCGAGTTTAAGTCTAAACACAAGTCGGCTTTTGCTATACACGAGAGGAGTCATACGAAGCCATTCCATTGCTCTGAATGTGAGAAACGGTTCGGCACTAAGAAGAGTCTTACGGACCACTCGCGCACTCATAACGAGTCACTGAAATACCGGTGCGATTGGCACGGGTGTAACGACTCATTCACTACACACGACGCTATGAGAGACCATATCAATACGCATACCGGAGCCGTGGTCTACCGGTGCGAGTGGCCGGGCTGTGAGAAGGAGTTCATTCACAGGACTTCACTCATTCATCACCGACGGAGGCATAAGTTGTCGGAAAAGGTTGACTACCGGTGCCATTGGCCGGAGTGTGAGTACAGTACTAAAGACTCGCGGAATTTGAAAACACATATCGATAGACATAACGGTGTTGTGAAGGACAGCCGGCGCTCTCGTAAGACCATTAAGACCGAGGAGTCTGTAAAGACTTGAATTGTTATCAAATAAATACTTTGATTAAGTTTATAGTACGGTATTCATAATATTATTGAAATCATTATTTTATTTAATTAAATTTAGCGCTAATTATATTTTTATTAAAAACGTTTAACTATTTGTTTAACTTTTATCATTTTTAATTAAAACCATTGAATTTATAATAACGTTATTTGTGACATAAATGCAATGTTTTTGTTTACAATTCATTTGCAGTGAAAATAAAAAGTGTGTAAAAAATAATGAATTAAAAAGATTTTCATTAAAATTGTTAATTAATTTAGTGTTAAAAATGAGCCAAACTTCTGGAGATTTGTCTCATAAAAGTCGTGAAGAGTTGTATTCATTAGTGAATGCATTGAAACGTCAAATCAATTGTTTGTCAACAGATTTATTGAGATTTAAATTGATTTCAAATAAATGCCGAAAATATATAAAATATTTACGAAAAATGAGCCCAAGTTTTGATCCAAATATTGATAACTATTTTATGAATGAAATGAATGTTTTAAAAGACACCAAATTGTGTGCAATTGGTCTCAAAAGTGACAAAACATTGAATGATATCTCAAACCGTAAGTCATTTGTTGAATGAAAAGTATTTTGAACTCAAAGTCCATTTGAAACTCATTTTAATTTTGTTTTCAGTTTTCAATCAAAGGTTTGTTTCAATCGGTTGTCAAACAAGTGATGAATTCACAGATCAGTTAACAATCAAAAGCGAAACCATTATTACAAGACATGAAACACAAGACACCAATAGATTGAGTGCCGAAGAAGTCATACAATCAGACAATGAGTCCGAAGAAGGCATTGATTGCGATATTAATTACGTATCAAATGAAATGATAATCGATGGACAGAGTGTTGACGGGAATGACATCAATAGCAACGAAGACATTGTAGACACGGAACTGATTGAAAGCCAAGACATGACTTCAATTGAGACTCAAATCGGAAGTGAATTAAAGACTAAATCAATGAATAATTGCGAAACAAATACAAGAAATACGACTCAAATGATGAGATCTGAAGGCGAAGTGAATACCGAAACAGATATTAACGATAATAACCCACAAAGAAGTGGTGAAGACATTGATGACGAGACTATTGATACCACTGAAGGGAAATGTGATTCAATTAAGAGTCAAATCATAAGTGAATTAAAGAGACGATCAGAAAATAATAGCCAAACAAATGCCACGAAACGGATGATTAAAATCATTGGATTCGACGGCAGAGTTGTGGCCGATATCGACGATAACGATAACATTCGCCACACAAATAGCGAACAAATGGGCGACAAATCAGTGGTTCCGGAGAGCATGAGAACCGATAGACTAATAGATTCTGAAAACAGGGAACTATTAGACGATGAATACAATTGCCATTCGAGTGATGAGGAAATCAATGATAACTCAGACACAGATTCGCAGCAAATAGTGGTTAAGCGGAAGAATAAGAAATATAATTTCCCTAAAATTGACGGCAAATTTGTGTGCGATTACGAGGGCTGCGGGAAAGCCTATCGCGACCCACAGTCGGTTGCGGAGCACCAGAGATCTCATTCCGGGGAACGGCTATTCTGTGACTATAAAGGGTGTATCAATCACTTCGGACTCACGACTTCACTGAATACACACAAAAGGCTGGGCCGACACCTGTTGGGCGAGGCATACCGGTGCCACCACTACCCGTGTAGCTACACAACGACATCCCGGCGCCAACTGCTGGAACACGTGAGCGGACACCCATTGATGGATAGATTGGACAAAAAGTCGAGACATTATTGCGATTACGAAAACTGCGGTAAGACTTACTCCGACTCCACTGCTCTTAAGGAGCACCTGATGTGGCACTCGGGGGACCGGTTTTACTGTGATTACGGCGACTGTACCGCACATTTTGGTCAAAGACCGCGACTCTTGTTGCATAGAAAGTCTGGGAAACACCTGTCGGGTGAACCCTACCGGTGCTCGCGACGGCTTTGTTCGTTTGAGACCACTTCCTGCCCTGAGTTACGCCAACACTTGGCCGACCACTCGCGCGAGGAAACCGCTTCTAATGTGCCTAAAATTGGCGGTAAATACCGGTGCGATTACGATGGGTGCGGACAGGAGTTCCGCGTTATGGCAACCCTTCGAGAGCACCGACGTGACAGACATTTGGGTAAACGGTTTTTCTGCGATCACCCGAACTGTTCCGCCCATTACTCCAGTTCTCACGCTCTGGTGGACCACCAGAAGACCGGCGCCCACGTGTTGGGACAGCCGTTCAGCTGTCAGTTTAAGGGCTGCGCCTATCAGACGCCAGAGAAGGAAAATTTCGAGGAGCACCTGGCGATCACCCATTCTGGCCCAGCCGTGAAATACCGGTGCGATCAGTGCCCCTATACGGCTGGCACGAGAGGCTGTCTGTTAGCCCACCAAAGCTTAAAACACGGCACGAAATACCGGTGCTCTGAGCCCGGATGCGAGTACAGCACAGGTAGGAAGTCATTTTTGGACAACCATCTAAAGATTTTCCACTCGAATGACTATCCGTTTAAGTGTGATATCGATGGCTGCGACAAAACGTTTAAGCTATTGGTTGTAAAAACAGCGCATCAGTTGACACAACATCCCGACGCCTATCCGGACATACCGTGGATAGAGTGCCCGCACACTGGCTGTCAGTTTAGGAGTAAATACAAACATCGCGTTAATACACACGAGAGAAGTCATACGAAGCCATTCCAGTGTTCGGTATGTAAGCGACGGTTCGGTACGAAGAATAGTCTGACGGATCACTCGCTCACTCATAACGAGTCTCTGAAATACCGGTGCGAATGGCACGAGTGTGACGAGTCGTTCACTAGACACAGCGATATGAGAGACCATTACAATAAGCATACCAGAGCTGTGGTATACCGATGCGAGTGGCCGGGCTGTGAGAAGGAGTTCATTCACAGGACTTCACTCATTCATCACCGACGGAGGCATAAGATGTCGGAAAAGGTTGACTACCGGTGCCATTGGCCGGAGTGTGAGTACAGTACTAAAGACTCGCGGAATTTGAAAACACATATCGATAGACATAACGGTGTTGTGAAGGACCGCCGGCGCTCTCGTAAGACCATTAAGACCGAGGAGTCTGTAAAGACTAATAAGACTCCGAAATCACATAAACTGAATAAACGTACGAAAAGTCGTCGCAAATAATAATTTCAAATACTTTTGAATGCCATTCAAGTGCTGGTAATGATAAATGTTTTGTCAATAAAAAGTTTGTGAATTATTTTAATAAAGTTTACAAATACATATTTGTTTAATTAATCATTTGTAATTAGAAAATTAATTTTAAAATATCTGTTTATACTTACAATTATTGTCCCATGGTAACTACTTAACTAACCCTCCCCCTTTTGGTCGTATGTATGTGGGCTATTAGGAAAAAACCACTTACATCTAGTAGATTAAGTAATTAATGTGTTTTGTAAGTTATTTAACTTAATAAAAAGTAATATTTATAGCAAATACCTGTTTGGGTTAATACACAGGATATTACGCGTATACTCGCACACTATAAGACAGTGATCCCTTCCCCTCCCGGCGCCCCTTACTATTAACAAAGAATATAAATTGAAACCAATTATTCAATTGATAGACATTTGTTGCCACAATTGACTTATTATTACATTAATAGTTAAAAGTTTTCAAAAACTTTTACTAATCTGTAAATGAGTGCCAAACCGGACACACCGTACGTGCGGATCGTCGAGCAGCCGGCGCGCAGTGCCGTCCGATTTCGGTACGAGTGCGAGGGTCGGTCGGCCGGCCCCATACCCGGTGTCTCCTCCACGCCCTCCTGTGCCACTTACCCCACCATTCAGATCGTCAACTACAGGGGCTCGCGAGCGATGGTAGTGGTGTCGTGCGTGACAGTGTCGCCGCCCTATCGGCAACACCCGCACCATTTGGTGGGTCGGGTGGGCTGTCATCAGGGCGTCTGTACGTTAATAGTGGACAATACGGACCACTTGTGTTCGTTCACTCATTTGGGTATTCAATGCGCGAAACGTAACGAAATCTCCTCAAGACTTAAGCTCCGGAAGCAGCTACAGGTGGACCCCACCCGCGGGGGGTTCGACCACATCGTGAAGTCCTCCCGTGGGGTCGACTTGGGATGCGTCCGGCTCTGCTTTCAGGTCTGTATTACTTGGTATTGATTTTGGGCACAGATTTTGAAACAAAGTTTTGTTAGGAAATAGATTTTTGCTTTTTTTCTGTTTATATGGAAAGTTCAATGAGTTTTAAATTTTATATTTATATTGTACTTTCATTTTAACATTAAATTTGGTGATTTTATAAATAATTTTAATTAGTGAATTTTGTGATTTAATTATTATTTGAAACCCAATTTGAAAAGTTAATTAAAATTTGAAGCAAAAGTCTTAAATTCATGTTTTAAAACAAATGATAGATTACATAATGAAACTATGAACTTTTATGATGAAAAACTATATACTTTTAAATTATGTAAAGTTTATTTCAAATAACATAAAAAGCAACAATTCTTATTATGTTTATTATGAGAATTTATTACACTCATTATTACTTAATAACTTTGGGTTTATAAACAATATCCTAATTATATTTCATAACAAATTTTGCTTAACAATTATATACAGAAAAAAATAAATAATAAATAATAAATAATAGTTGCTTATAAACAATTTCCTTTAGAATTAGCATTTTAATCTGTATTATTCATGAATTTTATCATGAACAGAATTAATTATTCTGAGAATAATGCCAAAATATTTTTTATATCAATATCATTCATAATTTATAAACAAAACCTAATCTATAGATAACTCATATTATAATTACAATAAACATCTCATTATAATTTAGTCATTAGTTTATAGAAAGTGACAAATATATTAAAATCACACCATATATACCACTGTATTATCTAATCAGTTGCTTACTAAATACCTGAGCGAAACGCACCGT